TCACTCCTTCTTTCTCCAGCTGCTCATCAGGAGCCTGGCAGCAAGCCCTGGGCAGCCTCCAGTCGCCAAACCTGAGCTAACAGGGAGCTGGGCTCACCCACCACCCTGCAGAGCCCATCAGGGAACCAGAACACAGGCTGGGGGCACAACCAGCCTTTGTGTTCAGGGTAAACTACACACTTAGAACTGTAAAATGGTTTGGGTTGGAAGGGATCTTAAAGCTCATCTTTAAGTTCCAGAAGTTCTAAAGTTCCAAGCCCCCTGCCATCAGCAGGGACACCTTCCACTAGACCAGGTTGCTCAAAGCCCCATCCAGCCTGGCCTTGAACACTTCCAGAGAGGGGGCAGCCACAGCCTCTCTGGGCAACCTGGGCCAGCACTTGAGGAAGTTAACCATGGAGCTCTGGGGTTATCAGCAGCAAAGTACAACGCTATGAGAAGCTGAGATGGAATGCTCTGGTCAGGCACAGCTTTTCCTGGGTCACGGGATGGCTAAGCCATCGGGTACACAGCACAGCTTTATATGGCTGGGAATTCACTGAGGGGTTGAGTGACCTAGTTCAAAACCTAAAGCTCTAGCTTTCTGTTGCCTCCTGTCATGTAAAAGAGGCCAGGTTCTCCTCCCTGTTATGAGGCAAGGGTTATAGATCAGCTTTCCTTTTTTTCCTGTTCCTACTTAAGGCAAAACTCAGAACCAGAAGACTGCCTGAAGGTGGTCTTCCTCCATCCTCCCCCTTTTCATGTTTGAAGGAGACATTTTTCATCTTCTGAGGACAAAAGCAGAAGCTCTGACCTCAGTCTGCCCTGAACCGGATTGTTCCCAGCCATTTGCACAACACCTGGTCTTTTCTGTAGAGGGAGAGGACCCCAAGATATCTCCCCAGCAGGCAACCTACATTCACCTTCTTCTCTGATCCTCCAGTCATACACTGCTCCGGGCATGAAGTACCTCTCCCTGCCCCTGCTCCCTCCCCGTTTCCCTTCCTCTCCTGAGAGACCTCCCTAGTCCCTACTGATCCTACAAAAGACACTTTTCATGCAGCTGTACTTGGGTGGGGTGGTATAAAAGCACAGATGTAGAATGATCCTGTGCTGTGATAGCAGTCAGGGCCTGTCCGGACATGACAGCTTCCCTGCCCCTTCCCAGGGGAGTGCTCTCAGGAGGGCGGGGAGAGCTCTGTAGCACCTAAGTGGAAAAACTGGCTGGGCTGTGCAAGGAGAGGGGATTGCTAGAGAAGGGCAAGGATCTTGTGCTTCAACCTTCACCAGCTCCCCAGGAGAAACAAGCAGCAAGCAGTGGGGATTCCTAAGGGTACCAGATCCTTGTAGTGGAGCAAAGGCAGAACAAAGTAGAGAGACAGGGCACCTCACTGACTCTGCGAGCAGTGCATGGATTCCTTTTTCTGTATGCCTTAGCCTTGTGCCATACGGTCTGACAACAGCAGAAATGTGCTTTTTACCTCCCTCTCTGCAGTAATAAATATCCCCCAAAACATCACACATCATCTCCCCAGCCAAACACACAAAATTGCCCTAAGAAGATGGATCTTGTCCCCTCTGTGGCAAAGGGAGAGCCATGCACTGCTTGCTCCAACAGCCCTGGCTTGCTCTGTAGCCCCAGTATCCCAGTGACTCCTATGCTTGCTAATTGTGCTTCCTCAGAAATGAGCAAGGCACTGACAATATTGTGCAATGTGCTTTACACGGTTTCCCGTGGCAGAAGAGCCATCCCAGTCCAAGCAGCAGGGGACACAGAGGAGAAACTTGCCTCCCTCTGGTTCTCAACTTTCTAGTCACAGGACAAATACACTGTTCCATGCGTCTGACCCGTCTGCCCTGAGAGAACAAGGCTGCCATTTAAGGGCTGGGAACCAGTTGTTGAGTGAGTCAGTGTCAATCACACAGTTACAGCTCGCAGAAACTAGCTCCAGAGCTGAAGGCTCCTGGATGAAGCCCAAGAGGGAGTGGAGAGGTGTGTGCAGGTCTTACACCTGACACATGAAGAGAAAAATCACAATTGAAAAAGAAAAGCTAAGGAGGGGAGGAAAGGTGTTAGATACACCTGGCAGGCGCAGAGGGCAAGAGAGGTAGACCACACTAACTCCCCTGGTCCCACTTTCTGCTTACAGATGCTCTGATCTCTAGCTCCCTGGAAGCTCTCCCATGGCCTACAGCCACTGTCTGTCTGCATACTCACCTACGCAGCTCCCATCGACTTCCTCAAACCCCACAGCACAAAGGCATCGGCCCATTGGTACCAGCCACTCCCCGTCAGTGCTGCAGTGCATTCTTGGGGGAGAGCCCACCTCTTCAGCTGCATACTCCACGCAGACCCCAGGCACTTCTGTCAGCCCCTCGGAACCTGCTAGCGTCTCTGGAAAACGGGCCAGGCCCCGCACTGCCTCCGGGCAAGTCTTGTAATACACTCGGACAGACACCATCGCTACACAAGCCCCAGAGTTCTGGAAAGCCAAGTAGAAGCCCCGGCGAGACAGCTTCCCAATGGAGCACACTTCTGTGTTCAGCTGCATGGCGCCCGATTCGATGTCTCTGCTTGTGAAACTTCGATCTGCTGCCACAGTGTTCAGCTAAGCGGAAGAGAAAAAGACAACAGTGTTAACATCTCAGCAGGCAGCAGCAGCTGATGCCCATGTCTCTCAAATGTCTTTTACACTAAGGCCTTTTAGAAGATGTATGGTCAACTATTTCTAACACTAGTGCACCTCATGCTTTCTTCGCATGTGGAAGAAGCGTTAACAACAGCATCCATGTCCTTTCTTGCCTCCATACTTTCCAGCATCTCCCTTCAACTCCTTTGCAGTCATTCACTGGTCTTACACAATACCCTGTGTTCTGGGTCTCTGATCTCAGAGGTCTTTAGGAACTTCCCCTAAAGGAACAAATCTCTCTTCTGTGAGATTTTTCTTTGTTTGGAAACTGTATGCAGTAAAATCAGAACAGCGCTTAGAGTTGTGTTTTTAAATTGAATTACATCCACCCTTTTCTAGGCTGTACTTGATACAGAAATCTACTGCCAGGTGGAGTGGCCTTTCTTCCTAGACAGCCTGATGGTGGGATAGCCTTTCTTCTCAAGAGAGTGAGCCTGATAACTAATCCTCCCCACCACAGGCCCCTCCCCATTACATGACACCACCTGCTCTGTGTAGCTGGATGGCAGATGAAACGATCTACACAGCAGCTGCATCTGGCAGTGGGATCCTAAGGCAGCTTTAGGAGTTGTGCACGTATCCCACAAATTCACCTCGTAGATCCCAGCTGCAGGGGAGGTGGAAGAGCACTGGGGAGGGAGAGGAATCCGTTACCAGAGTCCTGCTTTGCCTGTGGTGGCCTTTACAGTTCTTTGTTTCATCACATTATTTAAACTGCAGAGGAAAGGCTTCTTTTAGGACAGGACTGGGTTATAGAAGCTCCTTTACAAAAAAATCTGAGGTTTCCTGTTCTGCAGTTCAAATGTTTCCATAGCAAGAGGGCACTATGTTGGGGGAAGCAGCAGTTAAAATACAGCAGTGCTAAATACTTTCACGTACAGGAGAATTTCGTTTTAGCAAACCATCACCTCCAGTTTTAGGAAAAAAAAAAAAAAAAAAAAAGACCCTGTATCTCATATTAGAGTAAATGATCAGAAGCACAGAGAGCTGAACTGGATTCTGTTTTTCACTTGGTCGAATCTTGCTTTGTTACCTAAGGCAAATCAAATTCCTTTGGTCTCTGCTTTACTATTTCTAAAAATTGGTGTAACCATCTAGTACTGTTATAACCCCTTAGAATCCTTACCTACCTGGTGTCCAGTTAAATAAGTGCTTATGCAGAATGGAGGGCTGATCCCATTTGAAAACTCCTGTGTCTTCTGTGGCAAAAACCGCTCTGAGCATTACAGGGGGCACTGGAGGCAAAGTTTATTCTAAGGACAACGTTTACTATCCATGCCCCTCCCCAGATGCTGGTTCTCCTGGCCTCCCCCAGCCAGCAAGACACACCTAGTTTAAGCTGAAAGACGTAACTAGTTTAAGCAGAAAGATATGACTCAGCCTTCACCCCCATTGCCACGGACCTTGATGAACAGCGGGCGGCGGAACTGGATCCCAACATCTTGTTCAGACTCCATGTAATAGAGATTGAAGGTCTCTTTGCAGGTCACCACTTCACCTTTGAAGCTCTTGCAGTCCCTCACAGTAAACTTGAGCTCCACGTAAATGCGGGAGGCTGCCTCACCCCGATAAATCCAGTTGGTGCGAAGCCAGTGATCAGTGTCACCCTCGGAAAGCACACTGCAGTCCTGGTACATATAGACCGGGGTACCATTTATCATCTGCTGCACTTCACTCCACTGCTCCCAGGGAAGAAGAAAACACACATTGTTAGACAGATGTGAGAAACGAGTTCTGCTTCAAATGTGACAAAATTTAGCCTATGAGCTCCATTCCCATAGAGCATTCAGGGCTCAAAGCCAGACTAGCTAAAAGGTCTCCTACGCTGAGCAAAAGCTGCATCTAGTCTAGAGCACCATCTCTGCTTAAACTCTTTGCATAGGGAACATGGAGGATACAGTAGTTAGGATCTGACTTACAGCAAATTGAAGGAAACAACAGTGCATGGACTCTTGCACATCCCCTTCGTCCACCCTCAGTTCCCATCTATTCCTTTCACACACTTTCTTATCTTAGATTGAGAAAAAGACCCACTACTCCCATGTATTGGCCACTTCTCTCTGACACTGTGTGCATTCAAAGTGTACAGCAGGACATACCAGATCAGGACTATTATCTGCCCCTGAAAATATTGCACAGCACTTTGGGGTAAGAGAAAAGACGGTCTGACACAATGAGAAGGTCAGTTGCAGAAGAACTGTGCTAGAGCAAGCACTCATTAATTTGGACTTCATGCTTCTTTAAGTGTGATATTTTGCAAACCCTCATTTAGCTATTAAAACTCAGTTGATTTTCCTGACTTCATACGAGGTTCTGCTTCTTCCCCAGGCAAATAATGGCTGAGCAGAAGACATGGGCCCAGTTGGTTATATGACCTCACTGATACTATTTGTATGAACCCAACAGTGTTTGATACATATTTTGACATATACTTTTGCTGAATTTTATGTGGGTCTAGTTTTGTTTTCTCACCACAGGTCAGATGATACAAAATGCAAAGAATATTCACCTTTGAGTAAGTTGCACATGAGAACTGGAAACTTGGAAAGTAAGGTTTTGTCCACAGGGAAAATAACTTAGATCCTTTCCCCCCCTGTGCTAAGACTGCCTTTCTTATTATGCTTTAAATGTTTAATCAAATTAAATTGAAACAAGTGCCCACATAGGTATTGGCACAAGTTTAAGCATCTTGGTTTTAAATCACACCCCAGGTTAAGATGCAATTTAAACAAGGCCTCAGTCCCTATATTACTCCAGGCTTGTCAAGTCTCATGGGCTGAGCGTGGGACTCGCACGTTTCTCCAGCACCACCACCTCCTGTACTCACAGCACAGACCTGCAGCCTCTCTCCTAGCTTCTCATCCCCCAGACCATGTCATTCGGCTAGTGTAATACAAGACATGGACCCACAGAGTGCCAAAGGAAGCTCTGCTTTTGTGCCATGACTTAGAGCACACCTGCTATACAGCCCAGCTCTGAAAACTATCAGAGTGCTTTCTCCAAGCCAGCAAGCCCTGCTGATAGCACCAGCTCCTATCTGGCTGATTTCAGCCATTTACCAAGTGCACACTAGCAGGCTCCTCCCAGGAAGTTCAGTGGATGGTATCTTATGTGTCCCTTCTTGTTTCCTTTTTCTCCATATAATTAATCTTCAGTGTTACCCCACCCTCTTAATCTGATCCAGCTGGCACATACCTGGCGCCACACAGGATTTACACTTATTTCACTTACGGGAGGTCAAAGGACATAGGAAAGCAAGAGAGAGAAACTGACTGATCCCAGCTGATCAGCCAGAAGGGGCAATCACTTCATCACCCCTCGCACTACTGCATTGAGAAGGGGCAATCACTTCATCACCCCTCACACTATTGCATTGAGAAGGGGCAATCACTTCATCACCCCTCACACTACTGCATTGAGAAGGGGCAATCACTTCATCACCCCTTGCACTATTGCATTGAGAAGGGGCAATCACTTCATCACCCCTTGCACTACTGCATTGAGAAGGGGCAATCACTTCATCACCCCTTGCACTATTGCATTGAGAAGGGGCAATCACTTCATCACCCCTTGCACTATTGCATTGAAGAACTTCTGGAAAATGCTACAGAGCTGAATTTACAACACATCCTGAAGTAGACTGAAATAGAAGAAATGAAGTTAGAAAGGATAATAAGAGCAAAGTAGCTTTCAGAAGTAACTGCCAATGTTAGTAATAGCTTTTAGAAGTATTTTTCCATGGGTGCCTGTCTCCACCAAGCTGATGGGAAATGCATATTGCATGTGAAGGCCAAGAGTTAGACAAGTTTCTATTAGCAGTTTATCCTAAGGCAATGCCACGGACAAGTGTCACCAGAAAGCGATTTTTGCATGTCTCACCAAAAGATGTAAGCTGTTGTGATGCATGTCCTGAATACACTATTTTCAAAACTTAAGTGATACAGGAACAACATTTTATTTTCAATAGTGACAACTCTAGCAGAAAATTTTCCTTTAAACTACTGCTGGGAAAAAAACCCCAGCTGCTAACTCCTACATTTCTTAGCTCATCTCAGCCCAGCTTCTTCCAGACTGAGCTCTTCAGGGCAAAGATGCTTAGCACTGGCTATTGCACAGTTTCATATGCAGTGTGGTGCAGAGAAATAACAAGGGAGTCAGACTTGGTTTTTCTACACTCTACTGCTAATGGGTAAAGGAAGTAAAATGAGGATATTATTTATGCTAACAATATAGAACTACTGTTAAATATGCTTGTGTCTTCTTTTTATTATTCAGTGAAGCTTTTAAATTCAAAGTAGTAGATGAAAACTGTTGCATACAACACTTAATGAAAGGGTGGCGAGTCCAGAAGTTGCTAGGCAACTGTCTCACATCCTCAAAGAATCTGCTGCAAAATCAAAATATATGCCTCAGATTTTTAATGTAATGTTCTTAATGAACGTGTGTGGCAAAGTTTGGCTCAATCAATCTGAATTACTTAGCTCTCCAGTTTGTCTGCCAATGACACTGAATCAGCCTCCTTTGATAATACAACTTTCTACCCATTTAATTCCAGAACTGTATCCTTACTCCGGTCATCAGTCTGGCCACAGGATAGGAAACATTCTTCTAGAAGAAGCAGGGGTCAATGGGAGTCAGGCTTCCCCATTTTAGCAGAGTGAACTGATTTTATGATGCTACAGAAAACTTAATGAGATTTAAAATCACAGAAAGACCATTAGAGAAGGAAAGGACCCTTGGAGATTATCTAGCAGTTCACCCTGCTCCAAGGAAGCTAGAGTTCTTAAGTTCTTTAAATTTTATTCTTTTAAACTCTTTAAAATTTAAATTATTTTTTACATTCAAACTGTCTTTAAACTAGTCCTTAAACTTTTAAAACACTTTAGAATTCTATAAAAGTTGCTAACAAAATGCTGGCATTCAGGAGAGGGCCATAAATTAGTAGCTTGACTTTCTAAAAAGTCTAAATGGATCTGAGAACAAAAAGGTGTTCAGTACTTCTCAGGAACCCATATACTAACACAGGCACTTAGTTCCAGAGACTTGTTCTTGGAAGTCTTGATCTGGTGGTATAATACAGAGCAAAATAATTCCAGCACGGCAATCAGTGTTAAGTGAATGAAAACCTCAAAGCAAAAGTACTATCTCAATATCCTCAGAACACTGCAAGTTTAGGAAAACAGAAGCCAACTTTCCCCCCATTCCTAGGTTGGACTCAATGAAAAGAAAGCAGTGGTAGAGACGAGCTGCCTTTATGAAGGCAGTTCAGAATGACTTGAATGACAATCTGGAAGGGTGCCAGTAGATATTTGTAGTAAACAGGATTGGTTTGGTCTGCCTTGTGAGTAAAGATCCAAAGATAAGATAAGGTACATGCCTTTTAATATCTGCCTTGATTGACTCTGAATTGATTATACAGTTTGAAGCTCTGGAGCATAGGGAATGCTTACTCTGCTTTTTCTATAAACGAGTCTTCTCTAGGTTAGGTCTGTGTCAAGGAGCCTGTCTAGGACAACCTGTGATTCCTCCATCCATCTGTGGGCTACTCTTCCTAGGATCTGCCATAAGGTGTAAGATGGAAACAAACTAAGACAGTCTATATGTCTTCTTTGAGCTACTGTCTCAGTCTCTGCAGGCATCAATAAAGTGTCTCTTTGGGTTTTAGTCTTTTTTAGGTGGAAAAAAAATTAAAAAGTTTTTGTTTTTATGATTACAAATACAAATGTTATCGTTGCTATTAAAGAGGTAGGCTACCAGTGACAGAGGCACCAGACTGCGACAGTATCGCATATCCTTAGGCTCAGAAGAGCTTGTGGCTCACAACAGTAATGCTGCCTCCACCTCCAGCTTGCCAGGGACTTGCCCAGTCTCAGATAAGAGCCTCCCTGCTGTGACCTATATTTCATTTGCCTTCACATTAGCTTAGCACAGTGGCTTTCAATCTGTGGCCTGCAGACCCCTGGGGAAAGGCACAGCGATACTTTTACAAGACTCATGGAAGACAAGAAGGCAATGTCTTGCCAATAGCTTAAAGACATTAAACTAAGCTGCATGTCTTGTTTAACTTTGGGTTAGACAGTTGCACTAAGATGAAAAGACCCACTGAGTTAGTACAGCCAGCTACAGCGTACCTGTGCTTAGCAAATGCATCTCTTTCCCATTTCATTTGCAATAGAATTCATAGTGGTATTTTAATCCATGGAATCTCTTCCTAAATAAATTTTGCAGGGCTCCAAAACAGACATCTTTTTCAGCAACAACACATCACTGCTGTCCCAAGCCTGAAATCACCTAGCAGAACATGGATTGTTGAATGGCTTCTATCTGGATCAAGAACAGCCTGAGGAGAAGGACTTGTGGGTACTGGTGGACAA